AATGTCTCTTTCGTTTGGCTGAAGTTCTGGAAGACAGGAACATTTGCATCTCTAGTACCTAAGAAAGGGTCATCGTGGACTTGGGAATTATGTTTGTTGGGGTAATGAGTCAGTGAGTGAATGGATGAACAATCAGTGAGTGGAGTAGCTGTTGTGCGCTAATAATTCTGGTGCATAAAGGAGTCCCTTCCATCTCAGCTAGGCCTAGAGCAGCCCTCACTGGCTTCAGGGTCATACCTTGTGGGTATGGGTCTAGCTCAGTGGAAGGAATTAGTTTTCAATTTTTGTCGTCTCATATTTCTCTTCTCTGTATCATATTTTGTTGGATGATCTCTTTGTGTTAGCTTTTCATTGCTGTGACAAAATCTCTGAGAATAACAAGTTAAAAAGGAAGAAAGGCTTATTTGGCGTCATGGTTTCAGAGGTTTCAGTCCATGTGTGGTGGATTAACTAATGGTCTACTTGGAACGCCCAGCTGAACTGAGACAGCACAGCATGGTTCTGGGTGTAGAAGACCCATCTGAGAATTACTGTCAATGGCATAAAAAGAGAACTAGAGGGGAAGATGCATGCTGTGAATTTTCCTGGAGAAGCTTGCCGAGGCTGGTTTTCCTGATATAAAGTCGGCTGTTCTTGTTGTCAGAGGAGCTCAGGTCCTCACTGTGGCTGGGGACGGCTGCTGTTCTCGTCAGGGGAGCTCTGGTCTTCACTGTGAGCATCACTTCCTGGCCCCAGTGCAGATACCTGACCCGGTGGCACAGAGCCTCCACCCCACCGGCTCAGGCTTTCTGCTTCCACCACTGGCCTTGGGCCTTCCCAGTGCAGATCCTCCATACGGAGGACCTGCAGGAGACATTGCCCTGGGCTCCAGGCCTCTGGCTGGACTCGTGGTGGGCATTGCCTTGGGCTCTAGGCTTTTAGCTGGGCTTGTGCGGGACACTGCTGTGGGGTCCAGACCCTCGGCTGGATCCTTTGAGTCTCTGGTGTGTGGACAGATCTCTTGCACTCCTCTGCATTTGACTTTTTGGGTGAATATTATAAAACAACCCTGTAAATTGTGTCCTGTATTAAATCTATTCCCTTGCAAACTCTGACTATGACACCACGGTTGGTCAGCTCTGTGGCCGTTGGGCCTGTGGTGAGGTGGGAACATCATGGCTCATGGGTGCAGGAGGAGAGCTGCTCACATCATGGCAGCCAAGAAGCACAGAAAAAGAGAGGATTCCCTCCCTGATGGCTTTCTCTTTCTTCCGTTTCCTGTTTCATCTAGGTCCCTGCCCTCTTGGATTGTGCTGCCCACATTCAGGGTTTGATTTGTTGTCCCATGTGCCAATCATCTCTGGAAATGCAGGCACACCCGGAAGTGTGTTTTACTAATTTCCTAGATGTTTCTTGATCCAGTCAAGTTGACAATCTAGATTAACTGCCACGCTATCCTTCAAAATTCTGTCATTACTGTGTTAACAGGGGCACACAAAATCACGCCTAGAGGACAGAGATAGATCGCCACTCTGAACATAGCCTCACAGTTTTATCAACAGTCACAGGTAAAAAATTTATTTTTTTCCTGGGCTAATCAAAGATTCTAAATAGATGCTTTTTAACTCTTTCGGGAAGATACCAAGAGGAAGAATGACTGGGTGAAACAGAACCTCTAGTTTTAGTTCTTTGAGGCATCTCCACACTGATTTCCACAGTGGTTGCACCAGTCTACACTCCCATCAGCAGTGGAACAGTGTTCCTCTTTCCCCACAGCCCCACCAGGATTTGTTATTGGTTGATGTCTTGATAGCAGCCATTCTTTCTGGAGGTGGAATCTCCGTGTTGTTTTCATCTGCTTCTCTCGAATGACCAGTGATGTTGAACATTTTTTCATATATTTATACTTCTTCACGTGAGAAGTGCCTATTCATTTCAGATGCTTGTTGTTGGATTGGGACTTTAAATTTGGGTGGCTCTAAATTTTTTGAGTTCTTTATGTACTCTAGATATTAGTCCTTTGTCTAAGAAATAGCACATAAAATTTTTTTCCATTCTGTGGGTCATCTCTTCAGTCTGTTGCTGGCTTCTTTTGCTGTGCAAAAGCTTTGTAATATGATGAAATCCCAGTTGTTAATTCTTTGTAATATTTCCTCGTACATTTATGTCAAGAGTTCTACCTATTTTATCTCCCAGAAAATTTTCTTTTCCTGTTCCTTTTTCTGTTACTCAAATCTGTACATCTAAAAATATAAATAATATATTTGTAAAGAAATACTCTCTTAGAGTTTGAATTGCTTCTTAATTCCACATATTTAGGATGGTGGTTATGTTAAAATGCTGCTGCTATTAAAACACTCAAGGCTTAAATATTATTTTTAGAACAGTGCAACTATAATTTCATAGTGTTCTTTTGCTTTTTATTTTGAATATTTCTGCATTGAAGTAACATATCAAATTGAGATATAAAATTAGACATCTTTTATTGAAGGAATACTTGGAAAACAAAGTCAAATATTCTCTGAGAAAAGTAAATCTGCATGGCAGTTGCAAGCAGAATTTTTATGTTTCTGATGTTTTATATGCGGTGTATACTTGCTGTTTCAGCAAGTAATTAATAAAATAAGACTTTAGAGTGGGAAATGTTATGAGAAAAGCTTAAGTCCAGCATGTTTTTTCTATATGTCCTTATAAATATGTGCAAACTAAAAACAACAAAAGCATTCAAGCCGTAATCTAACTTTTCCAGTGTTTATACATTGTGTTCAAAGCCAGATGTCCTTTTAGGCCCTGAGATTATGTCATTTGTACCCCGAGTGTGTTAGTCGAGTCACTGTGCATACATAATACCCTGTGTGACATATGGGTGGTTGTTTTCTATGCCGTATTTTGAACCTGTGGCTGGCAGAATCACTGATGAAGTGAAATTAAATGAGTCTGTTCATTGAAAGCCAACTCTCTTTCTCACTTGTCTAAAGTGTACTTGAGAATGGAGAAGGAAAGGTCGGGGTTGTAGTCCAGTAGCGCAGCTCTTTCCTAGCTGGAGTGAGGCCATGAGTTTGATCAGAGCAGCAAAAAATTAAATTAAATTAAATTAAATTAAAAAGGGAAAGATATAGCCCCATATCTAAATGAGCATACAATAAAAAGAAGAAAACAAGCAATAATGCTTAGGCAATTTTCTCATAATTTACCCAACTCATCTTATTTTTAATGCATGCATGATTGACAAGTGGCATCAGCCCCCACTTCTATTCCATGCCTTACATCTTGGTAAGTTTCTGCTCAAATATCGTCTTAATAACAAGACAGCTCCTGACCTCTCTATTGAGGCAGTGATGACCACCACCCGCTTTATTGTCCATCACAGTGCCTATTTACTAGCTGGTATGCTATATGCTTCTTCATAAATTGGGTTATTTTTTCTCTCCCACCATTAAATGATGCTTCATAAGGGCTGAAGTTTTTCTCCATTTTGTTGCTATAGTGGTGGGATCTAGGACAGAACTCCCTAACGCTGGCAGTACTCACATTTTGGGCAGTGTAATCTTCTGTTGTAGGGTGTTGTACTCTGCATTGTAGGATGTCACCAACGTCCTCCACACTAGCTGCAGATAGATCTCCCTGGTCATGACGACCGAAATAACTCTAAGCATTACCAAATGTCCCCTATGGAGGGGTAAAGTTGCCAGGTCAAGATCCACTGGTGAAGAACCATGTCTGGCACCATGAATATTCACTAATTATTTGTCAAATGAATGGAAAAATGGGTACAACCAGTATGCTTCATCCAGCCAGAGTATTGCATTTCCAATAATAGAAAAATAACAACAGAAAAGCTCAAGACAGGGAAGACTTTACCAAGTTATTTTCCTCTCTTTCTCTAATTCAGGCCTTAGAGTCTGTCTTCTTTCACTCATCTTCTACTAAGAACTTTAAACAAAGACATTTCCAGAGAGAACCCACTTATTTAGCTCCTAATTGTTCTGGCCACAGTACTCTCAACACAGAGCCTGTAAAGTCAAACCAGTGACATGTATGTTTTTCAAGCCAGGTAAGCTTTGTTGAATTCCTTTTTCGAAATCCCTTTCTCTGCTTTCTGCAACAATTAGCAGTCACAGGAAATAAATCGCATGCCTTTCAGATGAGGATAAAATATTTCCCTGCCCCAGTGTTTGAGCTTTCAAATTCACAGCAATACAGGTTCTATTCCTCCACATTTTCACTTAATACTGCGCTGGCTTCTCTCCAAAACCTGCCTGACATGCAATTATTCTCAGCCTATTTCACAGAAGGGCTGGCTCCATTCATCTTTCTGGGGGTCAGATTTCCATCGAAACTGATAAAAGATTTTACTGTGTGAATCTTATGTCAGTAGGGTTCGATGCAATGCCAAGCCAAGGTTTTTTGGGACGCCTGGGCAGATATGAAATATAGCATGGTGGGAAAGAGCATTTGTAATCGTGTCTGGAGGCTTGGTAATGATGAAGCTGGATCAAAGCTCTGAATGCATTTTGGGCGGGTGTGTGCAGTGTGAGTAGAAAGGGCACAGGACTGCCGGGAGGGCTGAGGTTCTTCTCTGTTACTGAACAGACACATGCTCCAAAGAAAACAGCTGCCTTTTCTAAATAAAGAGACCGAACTCAGTGGAACTTATCACCTTATCCTCTCTACCCAGTGTCTCTCCCCCATTGCTCCCTGTGTAAACAGCACTACTATGCAGCTAACAGACTCAGAAACCTGAGAATCTGACTTCCCTTCTCCTCCACCTCCTCCCTCGGTTCCCAGTTCATGCTAATTTCCCCCCTAAATTCTTGACAGTTCTTGGCTCCCAGCCCCTCTCTCCCCACTGGAGACTGCCCAGGGAGTGGTCGCTCTGCCTCCCTGCCTGCCGCTAACTCTTTGCTGCGCAACCAGACTGGTCCTGCAGAAGCCAAAGCAGACTTGCTAAGAGAAGCTGATCAATCCACCTGCTTAAAAAGCCCCCATCGATTCCCTCTGTTCCTAAAAGTCCCAGATACCTGAAGTTGCTCTTCACATTCTGTGTCGATAATTTGTCCAGATTCAAGCCCTTCTCACATACTTTAATGTTTGCACGACTTCTCTGCATTTGCTGCTCCTTCTGCTGATGACAAGTTCCCTCCTCTCTTCGCCTCCTGCTGTCTCTCTGGATGTCAGTTACGGGTCACGTTTCCAGGCTTGGCACATCGCATGGCTCGGTCCTTAGACTTGTACACCAGTTTTGAAATACTGATATTTTTAATTGCAAAGTGATTTGTTTGTAGAATTCTGAGTAATTTTCACACCTCAGTATTTTTTATCTCACTTAAATCCTAATATAGCAGCAGCATTTTGGCAAATTGACTTTATAAATTATTTCTGAGTATTAAAACAGCTTTCATGGAAACAGGCATGCTCTTTCAGTCTATTTTGTTGATTAATGTAAACCTAGTGAAACTAATATAATTACAGTAAGGAGTAAAACAGAGACGATCGGGTTTGCTGTTGAACACAACAGACTCTTGGAAAATGTACAGCTTGGTCATTAGGTAGGAAGTGCATGGACATTAATGTATGTTTTAGGGCAGGAAAAGAAAATACTGATTTTCCCTGAAACTTTAATAATCTATCATTACTTCTTGATTACACATTTCTTGGCAGTAAGAACTGTTATTTTATTCACAACTATATATGTAACATAAAGCTACCAGCTCAAATCCAATATACATTTAAAAAAATTCCTATCAAAGAATATACAAACTCCAAAAACTAAGGAATCTATGAAACTGTTAACTTCAAATTCCGAACCTCATCAATCTTATGAATGTATTTCTAGTTCTGATACAATTATAAATTAATTAAGGCCCTCATACCTTGGTTATATTATCTACCTGCCCTCCAGTTAAAAGACAGAAAGTTGCCACAGAAATAAATGTTGAACAGCCTATGTGTCCCACCCTAGCCCAGTGTTGGGAACGTGGTGAAAAGGGTTCTAGTGGGAGTTGTTAAACAAGACATGAAGGGCCAGGGATTTAGCTGAGTGGTTCTGCCGCGTGCCTCGAAAGCGCAAGGACCAGAGTTCAATCCCCGGTACCAAAAAACCCCAAAAAACAGAACGCTAACAAGACATGAGGCGAAACAGTATGCTCAGTGTATGAAGCTATCAGTTACAGCTCTTCTTTAATGAGAGCTGGATAGCATTTCAGTATAATTATGAAAATGAAAATCCATGATTACTTATGGGTCATCCTTGATAAGTAATATCAGCTAGGGACCTTAACCCTAAATAAACAAGGACAGAGAATTGTCAAAGTAATAGTAAGCTGCACACTTCAGCCGCACATGGCTATTTGTGTAATATTCTTGCTCCTTAAAACTTCTGTGAGAAGTACAATTTCAGTGAATCCTCAGAAACTTACTTGCTTTGGTGATTTAGCTTTGGGATAAACAAGAATCCAATTTTTAAAAATTCGAGCATTATTATATTGGGCCAAACGACACACAGAGCCTGTCTCCCAACTCTTTTGCATTCAGCCCGAGCGCGAACAGCGCACATTCGCCTGCTGTGGAGCTGGCTTTGCAGAGGCCTGACGGGTCTGCTTTTTCCTGCTGAGGAGGGTAATTTCCTGATAGATGCTCAGGCTCCCCTCCTGCCCTTGGAACATTTCCAAGGGGAAAAAGGAGGAGAAGCAGGTGCGGCCATTCAGAAGCAGATACAATAACAGCAGATAAATCCTGGTCATAAAAACAACAAGGGCCATTATTCGAGAGGCTTCTGCGCTAGGCGGTTTTCAGGCTTTCTCTCAGTCCTCACCACGTCCTTGCAGTGGGTGGTGGTTAGCAGGCAGGGTTAGGGGCCAGGCAGGCTCGGGTTTGCATCCCAGCCCCAAGGCGTACAGGGAGGAGACTGTGGGCAAAGCCCTAAACCTCACTGTGCTTGAGCTCCTCGTGTGTGCAGGGAGAGGCCTGCAGAGGCGCTGAGCACATCCGGTCTCAACCCAGACCTTCTGCGTGGCCTGAGCCACTGGATAAGTTCTGCTCACATGCACTGAATGCAGTTTCCTCATCTCTGTAATCACCACAGTGTTTTATGGCTGTGAGGAATTTTTATTTTTACAATTAACATAATATTTTTAGGGTTGTGAGGAAAATCATAGATTATCCATCTTTGCCAGCTGGTGGATAGTTAATACTTGAAAATGACTGCTGCTCTTATAGGCTTTCACAATATATTACAATTAGTATAATCGCAGAGATAATGTACAATGCTTTAATAGAAAAATAATTTTATTACACACGTCTGTAAACAAAATGTGCCATCCGCCTGCGATTGAATATTATTCTGCCTTAAAAAGTAAAGAAATTCAAACACATGCTACGGCATGGATGTAGCTCGAGGACATAGTGAAATAGGCCAGGCGAAGAACGAAAACGGGAGTGTGATTCTGCTGAAACCATCCGCCTACAGGAGTCAGATTGAGAGAGACAGGAGCAGGAGAGTTGGTGACCAAGGACCAGGAGAGGAGGGAACAGGAATTTTCCCTACCAGTCGGGGGATCTGCTGTGGGAAGATGGCAAAGTTCTGCAGACACGAGGTGGTGATACCCGCGTGAGTGGTATATAGTGCCCAGCCCTGCACACTTCAAATTCCTTAGTAAATTTTATGTTACATATGTTTGCAGCAGTGGAAAAGACAAAGGATAAAAGACTATCACCTTCTATAGGAGGAAAAACTATTGTTAAAATTATTAAAATGAAAATCACAATTCTTAAAACCAGCTCGGGCTTCCTCAGTAACATTTTCAGTGTCTTGTGTTCAATTCCACCAAGAACTCACTTTAGTCTCTACCTTTCCACCGTGGGAGAGCGGGAGGTTCTCACCCGTGTCCTGATTGGATTTAGCAGGAGTGTGTTAACCAAGGCGGACAGCGGGCTAACGACATGTCAGAGCAGCGACATCACGGGGACACCCCAGAACATTTTTACGTGCACATTCCCAGGAAATTGGATGCAGCAGCACGGACTGGAACAGAACTGAGCCAGGCTGGAGCCTATGATGTGCACTCCAGCTCAGGAGGCACAGGGATGTGACCTGTGTCAGCCGTCACCAGGAAGATGCTCAACAAAGATGTGTCCAGTCCACTGTTTACACTGCTCACACTTCCACGCCTCACTTTTATCAGCCTTCCTGCCCACGCGATTTTTAAAACTCCCACAAGCCCCCCGTTTAAGAAGAGAAAGTCTATTTTATTTAAATTGCCTGCACTCCAAGCACAACTCTAAACCACTTTGAGGTTTAAAACATTACCTCTTCTGACATTGAAACTTTTCTCTCTTTTTTCCCCATTACTATAATAACTGTTAATGTTGGGAAAACTAAAGATACCCAGAGAGCCTTATAGGTATCTATTCTGTTATCACCGACTTCAGTCTCATGATATGATTTTCACCCAGTTGAAAAATGTGGAGATACATATGTACATATTTTACTGTCGTAATCATTTTTAAGTGTACTATTCACTGGTGTTAAACATTTTATAATGTTACACAGTATCAATACCGCCCATCTCTAAAACTCTCTTCATGTTGTAAGAGTGGAACTCAATACTCATTACGTGGTTACTATCCAGTGTCCTTCACTCCCAGGCCTTGGCAGGTACCATCCTGTTTTCTGTCTCTGTGAGTTTGACTGCTCTAAAAACCTCACGTAAGTGGGCTCTTATGTGTTTGTCCTTTTGTGGATGGCTTATGTCTCTTAGCATAATGTCCTCAAGGTTCATCCATGTTTTAACATATGTCAGAATTTCCCTCCTTTTAAAGGCTGAATAGTATTCCATTTTATGTATTTTGCCCATCTATTAACCTGTCAGTGGATACCATTGTGAATAATGCCATTACGAGCATATTTGTACACCTGTCTCTTGCGCACCCTACTTCCAATTTGTGTGGGTATCTACCCAGAAGTGGAATTGACATTTCACATAGTAATCCTATTTTTAATATTTTTGAGGAGCTACCGTGGCATTTTCCATAATGGCTGTACCATTATGCATTCTACACACAGTGTACGGAGGTCCTTATTGCTCCACATCCCTACCAATGCTCCCGTTTTTGTTTCGTTTTGTTTTGTTAATAGCCACCATCCCGATGGGCGTGCAGTGGTGTCTCATTGTATTTGATTTGTGTTTTCCTCATGATCACTGATACTGAGCGGAGCTTTTCTCACTTTAGAATCAGGCAGCTTTCTGTTGTTGTGTTTCCAAAGTTCTTTGCACATTCTGGGTATCCACCATTTTTTTCAGATATATGATTTGTAACTGTTTTCTCCCATTGTCAGAGCTGTGGTTTTACTTCACTCACAGTGTCTCTTCACATAAACTAACACTTTTTCAGGAAGTCAAATTTGTCTGTTGTCTTTGTTGTTGCCTGAGCCTTTGGTATTTGTGATAGGTAACTGATTGTGTCAATTTGAGTGAGAAACACCCAACTGATTGGTTTAGTACAGTTCTGGGTGTGGCTGAAGGGATTTACTGAAAAGGGAAGACCCATCCTGGGTGTGAGTGGCACCTACCCACAGGCTTATAGCCTGGGTGGAATACAAAAGGGAAAGAAGAAAAACGCCTCAGCTCTGTTTCTTTGGAGGAGCTGTAGTTGTCACCTTCGCCTTGGATGTTTGTGTCCTGGCTTCCAGCAAAGAGCCTTCAGCCTCTTGATAATGGACTCAAGCCGGACAGTGAGCTACAGTGAGCTCCAGGCCTTTGACTTTTGACTTTTAATACAGTACCATATCTGAACTGCCAAATCCCAGATCATGAAACATTTGCTGTATTTTTTCTTCTAAGAGTTTTACAGCTGTAGATCTTTGCTACATTCTGAGTTAAATTTTGTATATGGTATTCAGTAAGTCTTCAATTTCATTCTTTTGCAAGTGGATATGCATTTTTCTCAGCACAATGTCTTGAAAAAATTACCTTCTATTCACTTATTATACCCCCTGTAAAAATAATTTGGCCATGTATGAGAAAGTTTATTTCTGGCTGTCTATTCTATTCCATTTGTCTGTATATCTTGTCTTTATACCAGTGCCACAATGT